CTTCCTTTCAGCTCAATTGAACTTCATATTTCACCATTGAAAGATAATCTGTGAGAATTGATATGAATCCAAATATTACGAGACCATTACGTAATCGTAAACATAACATTACTGTAGCTTAGTAACAAAAGCAGAGCAAAAATCTTAAAGGAGTTCAACCAGTTAATCATAATCAACTTAGTGTTGACTCTTTCGATGGATTATAATCAATGGGCGGTACAACAAAAACAATGACAGGTTCAAGGTTAAGATGATCCAATCAAATTCGAGGTCTACAGGAGAAGTTGTCAATCACATGTGGAGAGATTTGAACACTTCCCTTCTACCTGAGTTTTGTGCTAATGATGCCATTTGGAAGAACGATGAAAGCTAAACGACCAAACCACAGAGATCAGAGAACAAAACTTGCAAAGAGTTACAGTGTTAACGTAATACATATACATAACCTTGAATTGTCAATTTACACCTTCCGATGTGTTCTGCATTTCGAACTGTTTTCTCGATTGACCTCCAAGTGCTGTACCTGTTGGGGACGTTAGATCCCCAAAACTCACTTGAAAAAGGACCTAATTTTTTTATTTTATTTAGAAAATTTGAATCTCTTTATTTTCGCGCCAAAGGTGCTCTTGTCACATTCATGTCATATTTCCCACTGGGAAATATCTTAAATGCTATTGGTCCGTTGCTATTTTGTAACTCTCCCCAAGGATGGTTTTTGCACTGTATATATACGTTTTGAATTGTGTTTGTTGTTATCGCTCGTTTTTGGCGGTTTGCAAAATATACTTTCCTATTTCAAGCTTGGACTTTTCCCTCTAGTTAGCGGGGGTGAGACGCATCAAATAGTTAGCTTACTGGTCTCGGTCACTGAGTTTTTGTTCTTGTTCTCAGATCAATTGAACTCGTGTTAGCTTCAAACCTAACACTACCGATACTGTACATTCAATACAGTGAAACTCTTTAATTTGTTCAACATTTGTTGCAACTTCGAATTCACATTCCACTACACATTACTTACAAACATCTTTGTAAGTAGCGTTCACTACATTACTATTATTTCTTTATTGATATTACTCGATACATAGATTCAAAGAAATACTGAATCATCATGTTCTATTTTAAAGGAAAATATGACTCTAATCATCATGTTTTATTTAATCAAACAACAACTAACTAACTACACTAGATAATTGTCACTGGATGATTTCAAGGAATAAACGAAAACAAACTCAATTACAACATCGATAATAGTTAATGGATTAAAATAGTTTTAGGGATTCGCTATTTATTCTTCTTATTTTTTTCTCATGTTCATACTAAATAAATATAAATTACGTAATGTAAACTTAAGTTACCAACGGATAAAACTATTTTTTTATCATTCTCTCTACAATAAGTGGAATAAGGGAGAGAGAGATAGGGAGGGATGGAGAGAGAAAGGGAGAGAAGACGTAGGGATTGAAGGGAAAATCCATTTTGGAAACATCATGTAAGAATGTTTTTCTGTTGTTGTTTTTTTTGTTATTGTTGTTGAGTTGTCTCATTTAAACAACGAAACATGATTAGTAAACTTGAAATTGAACTGTGAACAAGCTATCAATGGACTATTCTTTTTTCTAATGTAGTGTATTTAAAAGAGAAAAAAAGTACCATTTAATTTGTGGAATATCGAAATGTTTTGAAATTGTTACATTGAAATGAAAGTTGGAGGTGAATTTAAAATTGTTTTATCTAACTAGTTAGCTGGGTTTATTTTTTAAAATTTGAAATCTTGTAGATTGTTAATTAATTTTTCCTACATCGTCACATGTCAGTCTGTAAATCAGTGTATTTTATCCTTGTGAATCATGTCTGATTGTAGTAAAGGTGGTAAAGGTTTGAGCAAAGGATGAGCTAAGAGACATTACAAAGTACTACGCGACAACATTCAGGGTATTACATTTGTTGTCATGTAAATGAATATTTGAATAAATAAGTTAGAATACAGTTAACAGGGGAATGTAGGAAATGAGTTTCGTTCTATTCAGGACTGGTTAACTGAAATCACCTATATCCTAGTGTTGATGATCCCCATTAAGTCGTTAATCCAGTATCAATCAAATTTCAAACCGAAATTTAAACGAAGAGATAAATTGGACACATATTAATGGTGATATCTAGGCCTTATGATACCTAGAGGAAAAGTATCGATCACCACTAGGTTCTACAAAGATTTCAATCACAGGACTTGGATAATAGTTATCTAGTGCAGTTTAGCCAGAAGTAATCAAGCAAATTGTAAATATCATTTTGACTGCTAACTTTCATATAACATATCATAGTTTCATTAAAGTAGAAGACAATCATTCTTTATAAGTTATTGCACAATTTTCTAGATTATCACTATTCATTTAATCTGTGCTCTCAAGTTTCACGATGATCCAACTTGACATTCAAGCTGTCGTAGAGTCTATCACAAACTTATGTACAGAAAATAGTAGACTTAGGAATAGAAGATTATTTCAATAAGGTATACGAGTGAAATATGTATTCATAAATTACAATAGGTTTGTGCTTATTTACCATATACACTTATGCTTGAGTAAAAGGTTTCGCACACTGTCACAACTACCATATATGATTTCATCAGTATTATTAGTACGAGTAGTAGTAGTAATTATGCTACTCGCGAAAATTCTTGTGAGTAGTATGTAGGAGTATGCGACTTCAAAACTGTCACATTCGTCAGATGGAGAGAGGAGAATCAGCTCGTAAAAGTCACGGAGTCATTCAATCATCAAGAATCAACAATAACATTTTTTGATTGAATTAATTAACCTAACCAAGTTAAACATCAAACTACTGATTACAATCTTATAATCTATTCAGCAATGCTGGAAAGTCAATAATAGTGATAGTGTTAATTAGTGATTTTAATGGGGAACCAATTTTTCATTTTCCAAGTTGTAATGAGATGTATTTAACTTACTGATTATGATTGAGAACAAAACAGATTTCAAATTAAGAGTAAATTAGGAAAAGATGCTATGTATGGATATAATACACATTGTGGAACTCATCAAACAACATCACAAAGCAAGTTTTAACTTAGAATATCCAAAATAAGAAATAAAAGAGGCCGGCCGTAGACAGACATAAAAGGAATAAATGATATTTAAGAAAAACTAGAAAGAAGAGTCCATGATAGAGTGAGTTGAAGATTGCTGGTTGGCAAACTATTTTATACGAGAAGTAATAGACGTTGGTAAGTTTCTGACTTTAGATAAATTGATATTCTAATGTGATATAATCAACAGATTTGAAGTAAGTTTCCATTATGAACCGAATATTTAAATCTCAAAAGAGGTAATGAGCTGATTAATGTTATGTGGTGAACGAGAACACAAGTGAAGGATAACTTGATGTATATGAACAATACAGTAAATAATTCATTTGCAAAATATTCGTCAATTGTCTCAGACTTTATTGTTACTTCATTTCCACATAAATCACTCTCTATTTTCTTTGATCTTCTTAACCTTCTGCCTCCAGGCATTCTACTTTCGATTGGTAATATGTACTACTTATATCTATCGACATCAGTAGCACACATCACCGTTATATTTGTCACTCATATTTTACAGTCAATATTACATAAATTTCAAAACGGCTATTTTCCTAAGCATAACTAAGCAAATTAAATAAGCTTCAAATCAATTAAACCATGAATAAAAACTAGGTTTTGTTCAAAGGACCGCACAGGATGCACATATGACAATAACAGACTGATCAACAGAAGTCCTAAATAACAACGGGAAGATACAAGTGAATAACACCAAATGAAAATACCAATTTAATTACTCATTTCAACTTGAAAATGATGATTTTTGTGTCAAGTTTTCATTAGTTTTTGTACTTTATATATCAGTTTTTTTTGTTTAAAAATTATTGTTTTTTAGGATGAGGAAATTGAAGTTAATCAAATCAAATATAAATATAATTGTATCATTTATAAAACAGAACTAATTTTTTTGTTTCAGTGGTTAAGATCATGAGTTAGTTGAAGCTAGACCACTACGGAAAACCTCGAAGCACTGGAAGGCCATTTCGTTCTATTGTGGGACTTCTCAGCAGTGCGCATCTACGAACTCGCCCCCTGCGAGATTCGAACCCAGGACATACTGGTTTCGCGCGTGAGCACTTAACCGCTTCAACTGACTCATGATCTTAACCATTGAAATTATTATAATATCCACAAAATCCATCTGATATTAATCAACATATGCTCACTAGTGACTGGCTTCATGAAGTATTTCCTGGAGTTCTAGGGAGAAATAGTGACCAGTGGAGTTCAACCAGGCCTATTTTGAGATAGTAACTCACTGAAGACAATGATGGATGTGTCGCTCAATTTCGTAGATTAGTTGAAGCTAGACAATAATACCGTTGGATGCCGGCTCAGTGGTCTAGTGGTTAAGTGCTCGCGCGCGAAACCGATATGTCCTGGGTTCGAGTCTCGCAGGAGGCGAGGTCGTGAATGCGTACTGCTGGGGAGTCCCACAATAGGACGAAACGGCCGTCCTATGCTCCCAGGTTTTCCATGATGGTCTAGCTTCAACTGTCTCATGATCTTAACCACTGAAATTATTATAATACCCACAAAACCCATCTGATTCTTGTTTGTTGTTGAAAATTTTATGGGTAAACACTAAACGAACCAATCAAAATTCGTGATTCAGCTAACCAATCATAAATGAGATAAAATGTAATCAAATTCTTATTTATGATTGGTGGATTCTATTTTTATTCAATTCGACGTTTACAATGTATTAAAATTGAAATCTAACAACGACAACGGTAACAATAACAACAACAAGAAATAAGCCCAAAAGTTAGCAAAATGGATAAACTTTTATAAAATAATCTATATAAAATCAATATTATTATGTCATAAAAGCAATGTGTTTTGTTATGGTTAAGCCTATCTCCAAAATGGATGTTCTATAACTAATTGAAAATAAATGAATCAAATCTTTGATATACTGATGAAACAAACTCTTATTTGTAAGTATTTAGTGTCCTTTTTGTTTTATGTTCTTAGTATTGTATTATATTTATTCATGTGTTAATGTGTAACAATAATGTATAGTAATAAAATATATGTTGATAAGTATCAGTTGTGAGATAGTAAATCACTGAGGATAATGATAGATGTATCTCACAATTTTGTGAATTAGTTGAAGTCAGATATTAACACCGTTGGATGTTGTCCAGTTCAGTAGTCTTGAGTTTAGGCATTCGCATGAGAAGATGATGGGCTCTGGGTTCAAATCTCGAAAGATGGGATCATGGATGTGCACTGTTGAGGAGTCCAACAATGAGACGAAACGGCCGTCCATTGCTTTCAGGTATTACATGGTGTTCTAGCTGCAATGAACTCATGATCTCAACTGCTGAATATATATTTTCTGAAAATAGTTACATAATCCATGCCGATTTACATGTATAATCAGGTAGATGATATATAATGGAGTGAAAAAAAAAGTTGGCGTACATTGTAGAGAAATATATATTTCGTAAATTGTTTTCATTGATGATCTGAAACGAAGAATTAAATAATATTGGAAAGTTGATTTAGGTAAAAATTGTAACCATAGGTGATAGTATTTTAAATTACGAAGTTGATATCCAATTGTATATCGTAATAGTCTTCATTATTGTAAGCATATAGCTGTCTTTAATAAGAATTGTAAAAAAAACATAGTTGCACTAAGCAAGTGGCTTATCTACAACATCATGAACGTTTTAGAATAAGATATGGTGTATAAGACATGATAGCTAAGATCTGATCTCTTTCTCACTAAGAAATTTCAGACATTATGTTTAGGAATAAACATTATAACAAAGGGAGATTTCAGTTCACTTATAGAATGTCTATTAACTTCGACAACTGAAAGGGAAACAAACAAAAATCATTATCATGAAACAGCAAACAAAACTGTCATATTTTTCATCATCATATATATGCTTAAATGAATGAAGTGAATAGTAAAAATATAGCCATAACAATAATAATAAGCTTGTAAATATAGGGTAGTTTGATAAGTATTGTTAATGGTAATAGTATTCATACATTCCAGTCAATATAATTTCAGTTAATGATTGAAGTATGATCTAACTATCAATTAAGAAATTAGAGTCCAATGGGTTTCGCTGATTCCCTGTACTGCCAAGTTGTATCTCCTGATTTCCGTTGTTATTTGACTGGTCTTCCCGGTTTCCCACATTGTTCGGACGTTCCGTGTACCTATAAAAATTGTTGTTCTGTTTGGTAGAAGGGGCATCGGCCTCGTGGCTTCCGAAGGAACTTGACTTTCACAATGAGGCATTATAACTCTTCTAAACGAAGACCTGCTAGCTCCCAGGGTAGAGTTTAAATTATTTTTTTTAGGTTAGCGTCTTTTTAGCGAGTCACTTTTCTACGGGATGGGGTCGCTAACCCCATGCCCAACCCTCCTCCTTTACGCGGGCTTGGGACCGGCAGTAACTCTAGAAGAGCTACAGGAGGAGTTAAGAAATTAGAGTACCTATCTGATAAATTTACTAGAAAATTTTCAACAGCGCTTTTATAATCATTGAAATTATGAACCGAAAAATATGAAATGCCCACTGAATACCTGGAAGTACAATATGTCTTAGCATTGATCAGTCTATGATTTCAATATAATCCAACAATCTTCGAAATCCATTACTAATAAATGTAACTGTTGATGGAGTTTTGTCCCTTGATCTGTTCTCTGAGCAAACCATCCAGCTCAGAGAATAAAACTCCATCAAAATAATCCACCTGAGCTACAAATCTTCGCCACCATCTCATATGTAACTGTAATGAACAATTAAATGAAACTGATTTGATTTTAACTAATAGAAATAACTCATAACTTCTCTTCAATATATGGATACAAATACTCATTTTTCTTTTTAACGTCTTGGACACATAAAATGATTAATCTTATAGAGATTTATTTCATGAAGATCACGGAAGATTACTCAATACAAGTAAGATACATATCTAACAAACTTGTGAATTAGCCAATAATTTAACACATTAAGTGAATCGTTGATCAATAAGACATTAGCCTCTTTAAATGTGATAAAAAATAAATGATAACTCCTGTAGAGATATTCAAATTTACAGGACAGCAACTAATCAACCTGTCAATAGGCTCTTTGGGATTTGTTATTCTTAATAGAAATGAAATGAAGTCAAAGTATTTTGGAAAAAGGAAGTGTTGTTGTTTATCTTTTCGTATGTTTTGGAAACTACATCAATTGAAAGTAATATCACATTTGAATGCATTTGAGGTGAAAGTTATATCATCAGTATAAGGATTGTGGAGATTACGGAGTTTGGATGAATATCATGAATGGGTCAATCTTAGACCACCATTGAAAACCTAGAAGCACTGGACCGAAGGTCCTGGGTTCGAGTGCTGCAGTTGTTCAGTGATGACAATGGTGGATGGCCGCGCAATTTTGTAGATTGGTTGAAGTTAGATATCGATGCCACTCTACGCTAGCTCAGTGGTCTACAGGTTGAGCGTTCGCGCGTGAGACCAAAGACCCTGGATTCGAATCCCATGTGTAAGATTGTGGATACTCACTGCTGGTGAATCTCACACTAGAACGAGATAGTCGTTCAGTGCTTCAAGGTTTTCAATGGTGGTCTAACATTGATCCATTGATGATGTCAATCTACTCTGAAAGTTATATATTTATTTCATCATATTTTTGTGAAATTTGATATTTTATTGGTTTAAAAAGTCTGAATGTAGTCTATTGTCTATTATTTATTTCTCATCAAGATTCCGTTGTACTGACTTTATTTAGATTATTTAAAAGAGCTCTTTAAATTTGATACTCTGCTCATTTGAATTCTTGTATTCAATATGTGCGATATTCTCTTAGGTGTTTCAACGAACACTTTTAAATATTTACTCAACCACTTAAGCAAAAGTGGAAATCGAAGAGTACGTAAGAAGCTCGATTGTCAAATAAATATATGCATTCCATGTATATATATAAATATTGACCCATACAGAGACTGATTGTTCATCACCTTATCCAGATCGATAATTTTCTTCCTCACAACAGGCTTATGCGTATTTCGATTTCCCTCCTAAAATGTTGTCTTAAGGCAGTATATGATATTTCTATCCATGCATTATATATAACAGTATACATGATATGTAACTAATAGTTGATTCCAGAACATGTTTCATTACTTATATGACTTATTCACTAGATATATCTGCATTCTATTGTAGATGTTTTCACTGAGCCATCAATTCCAGATACCCACTAATATGTCTAAAGAATATCAGTGAATTAGTAAAAGTTTACAATTTCCCATTGTGAATATTCAGGACTCTATAGATTTCAAATCAATTAGAGTACGACAGTAAACCCACTATAATGTTGACTACAGGTATTATTCAATACTTCAATCATTTCTTTTATTTTCTCATTCTTGTCAGTTTCATGTGTTCAGTTTTTCAACATCACCGACATTATTGTCTTGAAACAATCATTATTAGTCATATTAATGTTTTCTCTTAACATGGTAATTAGATGTTAGTAAAATTCTTAACAAATGTACATTCATTTCAAATTCTACATTATCTAAAGCTAAGCAAAACTTTTACTTAACAGTAGTTTATTAGTAGTAAGAATGACAACAATTTCATTAGGTACTTCATACTGATCAACATTGAAGGTGTGTGTTTTTCTTTCGTTGAAATGATAAAGAATGATTTCTAGTTCAGATGGATGTTTTTTAGCATTTATTTTGTATTACTTGTTTGAATCTCCCTATAGATGATTAGGATTGGAATTGATCAGTCTTTTGTTGGTATATGTACATCGTGTGCGGATGCCTCAATATGACCTTAAATCACAAGAATTGTAAGCAAAGATGGATAGTGGCTAGCAGTGAAATCCAGGATGCACGTTTCGTCCTATTTGGGACTCGTCATCTCGATGTATCTGTATCTCAGAATTAATGTTCACTCTGGGACTCGAACCCAGTAATGTTCGCTTCAGACGCAACCGTGTTCTCCATTTAGCTATTAAATCCTGTTAGCCACTTGCTTTTGCTGATCAATTGCAGTCCTAAACATCAGTTGAAAGATTCAAGTAAATAATGGCAAATGAATTTAATATAAATGACTGTTTTTTGTTAGGAATGGAAAAGTACTATCTATCTTTTTTCTAGATTATATTGTATGAAGTGGAATATAATCTTAAGAATCATCTACCTTTGTGGCTAATATACTGTAGTGTACGAGAATACAAGTGAGGACAAACGAGTTCATTTGAGTACAAAATTACAGAACATCTGAGAACCATACAGTAAATTGTTCATTTGCAAAATATCAATTAATTGACTCAAACTTGGCTGTTCTTTCTGCAAAACTTCAATCAATCTTTTTAGACTTTACTGTTCTTCCGTTTCCACACCAATCATTCTTTGTTCTTGTTTTCTTTTCTTTGATCTTTTTAACATTCAGCCGCCAAACATTTCACTTTCGACTGATGATATATACTATATATATCTATCAAAATCAGTAGCACACACCACAATATGACCTGTGAACCATAATGTTTAACATTTAATAGTTAATGTTTGAGAAAAGTTGATTAAATATAGAAGAGACAAAGAAGTTGAGTGTTGAAAGACTGATTCATCATTTTGATTGATTTCCTGTGAGTTCGATGCTTAACGTGATTATTATGGAACACTACTGAAGAGCAGATGTGTTTGTGCTCCCTGTGTTTTCAACATTTCAATAGGTAAAATCAATCTTTGATAAAGAACATATTGGCATCAAAAGAATTTATGAATTGATCCAAATAAGTAATAGTTATATGTTCACTCATCACCAATGAATAAATAGGCTAGCAAAGTTGCACTGTAGTGCCATAATTCGTGCAGTTGTACTGTCAGTACTGAGTAGGATTTCTAATGTTCGGATTGACCGAAATTAGGAACAAAGACCATAGGA